TTTTTTTTTTTTTCAAAAAATACATGCTTAAACAGTGTTTCGACATCATTTCAATCACAAATTCTTCAATAAAATAATATTACAGATAAATCCAAATTTTTTCTTTATTTTTTAACCACACATTTCTCATCAATACACTGTTCAAAAATTCATTTTCTTTAACAAAATGGGGCTCAAATAAGGAGATAATGATTGCATGACACTTTAACCAACTTTAAAATTAAAAATAAAGGAATAGAACAAGTAATTTCTACGATTTTTTTTCTTAATTAAATCTATACATTCATTCTTGTAACTTTACTTGTCATCATTTAAAACTTTTCCTAAAGTCCGTTTAATTGCAAAGATGAAATTAAATTAAATTGAAAACGAATTCTAGGGAATTGAATTGCTTAAAATTTATTTTCCTGAAAATTGTAAATTATTGCGTTTGATTGATATAATTTTTCACGTGGAAAATATTAAAATAAAAGTATTTTTTGGTATTCGTTTGACTTTATTTTACATGAGAATTATCAATTAAAGGAACATATTTTACTGATATTGGGAATGAAATTTGTTTCCATTGCCAACAAAAAAATAAAAAAATCAAGAAAATTATCTATATTTTAGTTTTGTTTGGCTTTGTTTAACATGAAAATTGCCAATTAAAATAAAATATTTTTGTATAATATTTCTTAAAATTTGGAATATTTCAAGTTCCAAGAAAATCAAGAAACCAAATTCCATGGAATTTAAAATCTATCAAACAAACAAAATTGGAAAAAAGTGGAATTAGAATTCCATTTTTCATGGAATTTGAACCAATCAAACATAGTTTTAGATTATATATAGGGTAATTGGCGCAAAACATCCTTACCTTTCGAGGTTATTGTGGAAAACGTCCCTACCTTTCATTTTTTGACATTTTTGCCCTTATTTACCACCTTTCTTGCGCTGAAGGTCATTTAAAAAAATTCAATGACCTTTTTGGACCTTTGGCAAAGTTTAGTAACCATTTGGGCTATTAACTCCTATATTTATTACTAATTTGTAATTTTTTGAAATTTTGGGGTATTAGTTGCAATTAATTCTTTTATTTTCTATTCTATTCTTTTTCTTTTATTTGAATAGAGGGGAAAATCGTCAAAAAACAGTGAAAAGGACCTTCAGCGCAAGAAATGTGGTAAATAAGGGCAAAAATGTCAAAAAATAAAAGGTAGGGACGTTTTTCACAATAACCTTGAAAGATAAAGATGTTTTGCGCCAATTACCCATTATATATATATATATATTAAAATGCAGTAAAAAGTTGAAACAATCACATCCTCGTTGATAAACGAACAAAAAAAACTGATAAAATAATAATTACTCAACATCTCCTCTCGAATTAAAATGAACAGCAAAGCTCTGTATACAAAACCCTAATCACTCACTGTGTTCGAGAATGACAATCACACACAGTTTGAACTGCAACTAGTGTTTCCTTCTGCTATCGCGCCCGCTGACTGGGATCGCATTTTGAAATTTATCGTAATATTCATTTTGAGTGGTTAGAATCTTGCTTGTTGATCGATCGATGGCGGAGGAGGCGGCGGCGGTGGAGAGGAACGGCGATGATCAGAGTGAGACCAGTGATTACACGTCGGAAGACGAGGGAACGGAGGACTACAGGCGCGGGGGGTACCACGCTGTGCGAATCGGTGACACATTCAGGCACGGCCGATATGTAGTTCAAAGTAAGCTCGGCTGGGGTCATTTCTCTACCGTCTGGCTCGCTTGGGATACACACAATTCGGTACGTTTTACAGATATATTTTTCTTCTTTTTCATAATATGTATGTTTTAAAGATACATTGTATCATATCCATTTTCTGTTACTTTTTATAGCGCTTTGCTAATGATTTTAAGGTATGCTATGATGATATATCTCAGCCTGAGAAATGGAAAAATATAGATATCAATAGTAGTAATAGATAGTTTATTCTTACTGGCAGAGTTTCTTGTACACATTGTCTGTTATTTTGAGATAAAAATGTTTACTCTGGCCCTAGAGGGTATACTCAACTTACCCTTATTGTCTACTTAAGTAGCTTATAGTTACAACTGAAAGTTTAGCTGGCCCAACAAGGTATACTCAACCACAATAGCTTCCATTGTGCATGTTATTTTGCTAAGATGCATATGATGTACATAAAGGTGTTTTGATGAGCGACAAAAAGGGTCTCATGTAGCTGATGTCAAATTTATTCGTAGAAAGGCTTAGTTTGTTTTGTAGATGTAAATGAAGAATGAAAATGTTTGCTGTTAATTTGCACTCTGGTGGATATCAAATAAGATCGTCAATTCTATATGTATTATAATTATGTTCTGTGTTTGATGGTTGAAAGAAGTTATTGGTTTAAAGCGAGTGAAAAGGTGATATCGACGCCAATGCGTGTGGGAAAAACGAATGGAGCAAATGCATAAGTCTGCAACCCCAACCACCTCTCTCGCATGCTTTGAACGAACAAACACATACGAAGAGTGAGAGTGAAATGCACATTATTAATTGTGTTTAGCTTGACAACCTGCTTACTGTCAATTAGCTGGGAATATATTATTGTTTCCTTATTTGGTTACATGTTTGATAATAGCGGTATGTAGCTCTTAAAGTTCAAAAGAGTGCACAGCACTACACTGAAGCAGCAATGGACGAGATCACTATATTAAAACAGATTGCCGAGGGAGACCCTGAAGATAAGAAATGTGTTGTAAAGCTTTTGGATCACTTTAAGCATTCAGGGCCAAATGGGCAGCATGTTTGTATGGTTTTTGAATACTTGGGTGACAATCTTTTGACCCTAATTAAATATTCGGACTACAGAGGAATTCCTCTTCACATGGTTAAAGAAATTTGCTTCCATGTTTTAGTGGGATTGGATTATTTGCACAGGCATCTGTCAATCATACACACAGACTTGAAACCAGAGAACATATTACTTCTTTCAATGATCAATCCAGCTAAAGATGCGGCTCTAGTCTTGCCATTCAGTAAAAGCAAAATCCTGTCTGAATCCGGGACTTCTAAAGATGCAAAGAGCTCAAATGAAGACCTGACCAAGAACCAGAAAAAGAAAATCCGAAAAAAGGCTAAGCGAGCAGCTCAAAAGTGTGTGGGGAAGGAAGCTTCTGACAATGATGAGCCAGATAATGAGGCTAGTAGTCCCGTTGATTGTCATAATAATGATAAATCCAATGGTAAGTCCAGTGAAGAACAGACCAATACTAATGGAGTGAAGGATGCACACGAAGGATCTAAACTTAATAGGAGAGGCAGCCGTTCAACAAGGCAGAAGCTATTGGCTGAGGTTGACCTAAGATGCAAATTGGTCGATTTTGGAAATGCTTGTTGGACTTATAAACAATTCACAAGTGATATTCAGACAAGACAGTATAGATGTCCAGAGGTTATCCTAGGATCTAAGTACTCAACATCAGCTGATATGTGGTCATTTGCTTGCATTTGCTTCGAGCTGGCCACCGGTGACATTCTTTTTGATCCTCACAGTGGTGATAACTTTGAACGTGATGAGGTATGTGATCTATTGTAGATATGAATAAGCAAACAACAATTCTCTGAGTTACATGGTAGTTCATAGTTTAACTGCTATTTTCTGCTTGTATGAACTGTACTTTTGCATTGATATGTATGTTTCTGTAGTGCATATAACAAAATGCCATTTGCTTTTTGCAAGGCACATTGCAATTGACATCTTACTTGCTTAAAAAATAAAAATAAAAATAAAAATAAAAAATTCCTTCTCTATCAGTATAGATCTGTTATTTTCTCAACAAACACTTGTAATGCTTTTACCCTTTTATTCTACACTGTTGATACTCTCTCTTTTGGGTTGGTTTTTTCTCATTTGTTTTTTTCCCCCCTCTTCCACCCAAACTTCGTTACTACTAGTGTGTAATGTACTGTCTCTGGAAAGTGAATCTGACAATTGGACATTGATGACCGTTTCTTCATTAAGATTTGAGTATTTGAATATATGATCTGAGCTGGGTTGGCTTCGAGAGACTCTGGTGCAAAATTTTACATTTGTTCGAGTTATTATTCGTGGTGATTATATGGATGTGGTAGTTGCGCATTTTTGTTGCCGCCTTTAGTTTGCTCCTTTTCCATCTCACGTCTTCTATTCATGTGTTTCTTTTGTGGTAATATCTATGCATCTCTTCGATTTTGAAGTCGAAGGTAAGAGATTGATGTCATAAGATTTTGAGCTTTGATGGAGATGAAATATCTTTTACAGATTCTATCAGAAGTATTTGTTATTTGATATTAAGCTTGCATCTGCTGTATTTTCCTTTAGCTTTTTTGTGACTGGTTCAATTCTGGCTTCTTTTTAAGTTAAGGAAAATATTCAGATTATGCTTGTGTTTTTACTTTTCTTTTCCTTCCCAATGTCTAGTTTCATAATGCCCTGTCTTGATCAACCTCTGGATCAAATTAGTAAAAATACTTATATGAGTTACATATATTGGTTTCTGGTAAAGTTGATTTATTATTTATTTTAAGTGCTTTTCTTTGAAGGATCATTTGGCCTTGATGATGGAGCTTCTTGGTATGATGCCACGGAAGGTGAGAATATTTCTATACTGCTTGTTAGGAAGCAAATTAGGATGATTCATTTCCCCATCTTTAAATCTGTGGGCTAGATCAATTTTGTGAAGTTTATTTCCTTTGATACTTTTATCCGTATGAAGTCACCAATTTCCCATGCTTCACAAACATCTTGCAGGTTGCCTTAGGTGGGCGCTATTCCCGAGAATTATTTAATAGATATGGAGATTTGAGACATATACGACGATTAAAATTTTGGCCTCTTAATAAGGTGCTTAGGGAGAAATATGAGTTTAGTGAGCAAGATGCAAATGACATGGCAGATTTCCTGGTCCAGATACTCGATTTTGTGCCAGAGAAAAGGCCAACAGCAGCACAATGTCTTAATCATCCATGGATCAGTGCAGGCCCTAAGAGACTCACCCCTTCTATGTCTCAACTCCATTCAATGGGAAACGATTGTGCAGAAAAGAAGAGGGAAAAGGATGAGAGGGAGGCGATGGAGGATGGAGTAGGAAACATTGCTATTGATGGAGCACCAAAAGCAGTGAAATATTCTCAACCTATGGCGAACCCTCCAAAACAGCCATAGTCAATGTGATTGTGTGTTGTCTTCAAATGTGTTTTACCCTTTGCCTCTTCGAAAATTTCTGAGATTTACTTATTCATATTTTCCCTTTTATATCAGGGATTGCCTCTTTCCAATTCTTTATTCAAGTGCTTAGGAGAATGAGAACTGGAAGAATGTAACTTCTTGGAGCAATGCTACATGTACAGGGAAAATTTACTGGAAGTTTTACAGAATGTCACATGGCAATATTTCATTGGATTTTGAGCAAATTATATATTTAAAACAGCCAAACAGATGCTGCCATTTCAGCACCTGTAAAACTCCCAGTAAATTTTCATTGTATAAGTATCATATTAGAACTTCTTGTTCTCAATGCATATTTCTCTGTACAATGTTTATTTTCTATGTGGGGGCATGTGTTTCAGAATTGCTTGAGATTATAATTTGTTAGACCAGAATTGTTTATTGGTGCACTGTTACAGATCTGTATGACAGTACTTCGAGAAATTTAATGTTGCTCTGCCAATGTAGAGTATGCCAAATCCTTAGCATGGTGGTAGGTACAAGAACATCGTGTTGATCTGCAAGCCGTGATGAGTTTTATGGAGCCTAAAACCACTGTTTAATTGATATCGGAACTGACCCGAGCATTGACCTGACCAAAACATTGAGTCATCGCGTTAATGTTTAAAAGGTGGGTTAGTGGTTGGATTGGTGGATTATTGCTTAGAGATATTTTAAAATTTTCATAGTATAAAATCTTGCTCTTTTTATGTACTTGTCATTAATTAATTTTATATTCATAAATTATTAATATTGTAAAGTTAATGATACTCTAAATGTTTACATTTTAATTTTATAATTTCTAATTGAAATGTTTATTATTTCTCATTTTTGTGTTTGTGATGTACAAACATTTTGTAAGTTATCAGTAAAAAAAATTCTATGTAATAAAATTTCTGATTCATCTCAATTAAAAATTTTTTTCATACTTAAAAATTATTAACAATAAAGTTGTTGATGCTCAAGTGTTTACATTTTTATTTTAAAATTTCTAATTAAAATGTTTTTTATTTCTCATTTTTTTGTTTGTGATGTACAAACATTCTGCAGGTTATCAATAAAAAATTTCTATGTAATAAAATATTCGATTCATATAAAAAAAAAATATTTTTTTCATACTTAAAAAATCTAGTAAAAATATGGGATTATAATTTTTTTCAAAATTATTTCAAGATGAGTGAATCTTTTAAAGTAATGTTATTTTGCCCACCGAGGATGTAATTTCAATTTAGATGATGTTAATGTGACATTAATTGATAGGTAGAATGAAATGATTAATTTAATTTCACTTTTCATTTAACCAATCATCTAGTATCATCTAGATTGTGATTGCTACCTCAATTGAACTACATAACATTATTCATTCTTTTAGCACCATCAGTCTAGGTGACATTAAGTATCATTAAATAAAATATTCAATTAAATGATTCACATAATTTCACATTTAATTGAACGTATTTCATATACTAATGAGCACCAGTAGCATTATATGCAAAATAACAGTGAATGACTTGTTAGCATATTGATCATAAACATGTACAAAACAAGAAGATTGCATATGTAATGGTGGTAAATTGCAATTCAAGTCCAGTCAAACAAACTCAACTCTGCCTATTCAAAAGCCAACATCTACACTGTCATTGCATGAGCAACTTATAATAAGTAGACGGGACTATGACCTCGCTTCCAAATAACTGTAAAATTTGGATGGAGGCAAATAAAGGAACGCCTACTTCAACTCTTGTAGTGGAAGCTCTCCACAACATAGACAGCCTAATAACTCAATACGATTATAGTCCAGAAAATACTGTATGCGAAAAGGGATGTGTTGGTTGTTGAATTTGGTCTCTATGTAGCAAGGAGCCATCAACTTGTGATATAGATATAGAAACACAGTTGATCTTTAGCTAATTTCTCTCTCCATTTCTCCTTGCTCAGCAGTATCCATTGTTCCCTATAAAAACGACGACACTGCTGTGTGTATAACCATCTGTCGCAGTGGAATGAAAATGTTCATAGTATAACAAGATGAAGAAGGGGGTGTAACTTACTCGTTCTCGTGTTTATAGTATTTTCCTTTTCCTAAGGTATGAATACAATATAAAAAATGCAACTACTGCACCAACAATAATTCCTGTAGTTGTTATCCAAAATGCAAACTGCGGAGCCAAAATGTGACGAAGTGAATAAGATTAGAAAGCAAACATAAGCCAAACATTAAGAAAAGAGACACTGGCATATAAATAGAGTCCCAAAGGACATACCGCACGCTCCTCAAGGTAGGACTTCAAGTTCATGCCAAATATACCTGTAGCCAATGTTTTTATGAGCCTCGGTAGCTTCTATATGCATGAGGATGACATTATATGATTTCAAGGTTTGAGGAAGATTGATGTTCAATTTTCATTAGAATGGCATAATCAAACATTGGGATAATCTCAATTTGTAATTTGATTGATTACCATTGTTCACTTCTCAAATTTGATTAAGCCATAATATTTTAGTAACACTGCAAAAACTATGAAAGTACAGAACAGATTTGAGGTAAAACGAAATAAATAGAATTAAGAGTTAACCTAGAATGTTGTAAGATGAGCAAAATATTTTCTCAAATGTAACTGTTCTTCTTAACTACTCTAAGCGACCACAAAGAAGCTAGTGTCAACTTCTTTGCCAGTCTGGTAGGGCCACTAAGAGTCAAAAAATTCAAAGATTACCTAGAAATTGACAAAGTTCATCAGTACATTTACTCGGTAATGTTCAGTTAATAAATGATTTTAATGCAAGGTATCAAAGATTTAGTAAAATATATAATAAAATTATATACTTATATTTGAAAAGTGATGCAAAAAAGATGAGAAAAAAATTAGTTACTTGTAGGAAAAATTTGAAATTGTGTAGGGAGGTTAAGTGGATAAAAGATATCGAGCGAAAGACCAGAGACAGACACCATATACTTATATCGGGTTCTACTGCTACTAATATATCGCCTAATATTTAAAGTCTCAGCATAGTGTCAAATTATAGAACCCGCTTGAGAGTGGAGCTATGGAGGGCCTCAAACTTGTGCCTAAAGAGTCATGTTAATTAGAAAATTACATCACTCTGTATGCTATGACATTGTTCTTAAAGTAAATAGTTACAGACATGTCAAGTATCCTAATAGTACATGTACATGAAATTTAACCAAACAAAAGTTGTTAATCATTCAAATAATAACCATTTTAGTTTATTCATAGAGAGCTCGTTACCTGCAACTAGAGCACCAACTGCAATACAAAATGTCCCAACCTGAAGAAGAAGTTCCACTCTGCTTACCTCAAGCCTCCGAGAGCTGAGAAGAGAAAAGGCCATCAGTAAATAATGGAAAGATCCCTAAGTTTTGAATAGAATAGTTGTTGGGAATGAACCAAGAAAGCATATATTGTTTAAAGATGCTCATAGTAAGATAAATGACTAGCGTACTACTGGATAACTCCTACGACAAATGAAGTTCACTGATATTTTTGATTAAATGCTACCCTCAATAATCTAAAATATTTCATATTTTAAACCCAAAGTTCACAAAAACAACCAAATTCTCCATTAATTTCCAAGTATATTTGCAGAATTAACAGACTTATATGTACTACCTTATTTTTCATTTCTTGCATTCTTAGATAAATTTAAAGAAATGTTAACAGCTTAAATATTTTTTTCTTGAACTCTGATAAGAGAATATAAATTGAGTGAACAACTTAAATCATTGTAGCATGATGAAAGACATAATGGGACAGCTGATGCCATTGCTTCAAGTAGCACCAATGTTTTCTTTTAAAATTCAGTTTGTAGATAAAAAAAATAGATGGAAAAAGAGAAGGGTTGGCAATTAACCTAAGGTT